AAGGGGGCCTCCTGCAGCCCTTCAGAGTTCTGCCTGCAGCTCCCTCCTGCCAGCGCTCTATCCTGTCAACGCTGGGTGCCTTGGTCTCGCTGGATTCTCAGCTCTGTCTCCTCCTCTTGGGGTCCCCTGGGCTCTTCCTGGGTTCTTTTACAAAATTTTAAACTTTTTTGGGAGGGTGGTAATTAGGTTTGTTTGTTTACTTGTTTGTTTGATCGATCGATTGATTGATTCATAGAGGAGGTGCTGGGGCTTGAACCCAGGACCCGATGTATGCCAAGCGTGTGCTCTCCCACCGAGCTACCCCTCCCCTCTCTGCCTGGGTCCGTGCCCCTGCGCTGCAGCCTGAGAACCTGCCCAGCTGAGCCGGTGGCTGATCTCTGGGCTCACCGTGTTTATTCCCTGCGTCTCAGGAATTACCTTCTCTTATCTGTACAGTTTTCACATTCATTCTCAGAAGTAGGCACCACTGTTACCCTGTTTTTCACAGAAGGTGCCGGAGCCTTGCAGTGGTCACCTGGCTGCAAGCGGTGAGGTCGAGCTCAGGCAGTGGGGCGGCCACCCCGCTGTCACCCTGCCCCATTAGAGGCATTGCGGCCATCATGCTTCAGCAGGGAGCTCCAGAAGGCTCTTCGCAAGGGCTTTTCTAGGACAGCGAGGGCTGAGTTTGCGTTAAATTTGGCAGTGCTTTGTGTGGGTCTTCAAAACCGGAGGTGACCTTTCTCAGAAAGCTTAGAATAGAGCTCTGGTGAAACCCTCGTTTGGCCGTGACTTTTTTCCCCTTTTATCCCACTGTGTGCTCCTCTGCTGATGCGAATTCTGAGGGGCCCGGAGGTCTAGACCCCCTCCCTCTGTAGACAGGGGGCCTTTCTCAGTAGTCAGACGGCCCCTCCAAGGGACCACGAGGGAAACAGCCCAACCAAGAGGCACGGGTCTCGCGAGACGACTGGAGCAGGGGAAGCCAGCGCCGCCTCCACCAGGGCCTTCCCTGAGCCGGCTCCCCCCTCCCCCGCCCCTCCCCCAGACCCCGCCCCTCCCCAGCCCCACCCCTCCCTCAGCCAGGCTTGCTCAGGTGCCGGCCAGACCCTCCCTCATCATGCTGTGCTCGCTGGATGGTGCGTGTCTGTCTGTCTCCCCTCCTGGGCTGTGAGCACTTGGGACACAGGGCTTTTCCTAACTGGGGTTTTTATTCCTTGCACTAGGGAGACAGTGCCCAGCTGCACTGAGTTTTCAGTGAAGACATTATGAATGAATGAAGAACGAACGAATGAGTCTGAGACTCATGCCGGTGAGGACGCCTCGGGTCGTGAGTAACGGAGGAGCCAAGTCCAGGCGGCCTAACCCTGACGAGATGCATCGTCTCGGATAAGGTTCTGGGGCGAGGTGGGCGGCAGGCACGGCGTCGTCAGGGCCCCAGCTCCCCGGTTCTGTGGTCCCCTGGGCTCTGCCTCTCTGTCCTCAGGCACCCTTTCTCGTGGCTTCGAGGTGGGCACTGCCAGCTGTTGGTGGGGCAAGCCACTCATTCATGCCCAGAGGGAGAAAGATGGTGGAGTGAAAGTCCTTCTCGCCCATCTGGTTGGCCAGCCTAGTCACACGTCTGCTCCTGAACCTGCACCAGTCACCGGGGGCATCCGTGTGCCGACTGGCTGAGATATTAACCAGTGGGGAGGGCGGCAAACTGTGACTGGCCAAGCAGGATTCATCCATGGCCTCCCGAGTCCATAGCGAGTATGGAGGAGAGGAGAGTGGGCACCAGGCCAAAACGGGGTCCTGGGGGAAAGACGGAGTGGAGAGGTAACCTGTGTGGCAGTGACCCACTGAGGGACGATGGGACGCCCCCCCTACCCCAGGTCTCTGCCTCTTTCCCCCTAAACAAGTGGGTTATACATGACAACCCACATTTCTTGGGTGCATACTTGGAGTGACGTGGGCTCTGTACCTCGAGCTTCATGGGCACAGTCCCATCGGGACCCCCTTCCCCTGGGAAGGAATTGCAATCACTCCATTGCAGAGCTGAGAGAACAGAGGTGCAGAGAAATTAAGAAACTTGTCCAAAATTGCCCAGCTGGTCAGTGATGGGGCTGGGGGCTGATGCCTGCATCCACAGGACAGGCTACTGAGATCCAAGGATGCCTAAGGATGACCAGCAAGGTCTTTTCAAGATGGGATGTTCTCCGTGGTACCCAGGGCACCGGTTCCCTCCCCATCCTACCTTCCCTCTGCCCGCATCTCTGCCCTCTCCCTCCAGGGCCTGGCATCCTCAGTGGGCAGAGAGCACGGGCTGCTCATGCACCCTTGGCCCTTCCCAGAGTCCCTGAAAGGCAGGTGGCACGGAATCCTGGAAGCCAGGACCACCACCTACCTGGCTGCGGCGGGAAGGGCAGAGCTGCAGCCTGGGGTGTCCTCTTCCCCATCTCCTCCCCTGGCCCCCAGTCCCGCCCCTCTGGACCTGCACAGGGCAGGGGGCCATGAGCCCGCAGGGGGACGTGTGCGTCTGCTGGTGCTGAAGTCCCGCTGAGCATGCACAGGCCGTCCACCAGCAGAAAGAGGTGACGCCACAGAAGAGGAGGATCAAAGATCAAGAGGGCATTAATTCTGAGGCTCTGTGATCCCCTCCCTGGGGGGGGCGTGAGGAGGAGGCTGCTGCTGAGTCAGGACCGCCCTCCTGGCTGCCGTGGGAGCAGTAATGTCAGAAGCACGACGGAGGGCGGGGGTCCTCAGTGGCGCCTGCTCAGGGCTTGGGCCGGGCCGCCGCCCCCGCGCACCTGTCCGCTGGGCCAGCGTTCGTGGTGCGTGAGGGACAGCGTGCGGGCCAGGCTGGCTGCCCACAGCACCTCATGAGACCCTCACGCCTGCGCCAAGTCCTGAGCGTTGGCCCTCTTCCCTGTTTGGTAAGTGAGACCGTGCAGGCTGGGAGAGGCCAAGGAGCCCACGAGGGAGGGGATTTAAATCCACCTTTCTGACCCCAAGCCTGCACTCTGGACCCCTCTTCCCAAGCTGGACAACTGGGGACTTCTCCAGACCCTGTGCCCGCACCCCGCCTGGCCCAGGACGGCCCGGAGCTCGCGCCCTGGGAACCAGGGGTCTCTTCCCCCCAACGCTCTCTTCTCACTGCTCTTGGCAGGTGAGGAGGTGCAGTCATCTGAGCCCCCTCTCCTCACCTCTTGCTCCCAGATTCAGGGGGATTCCTGAATTCCCTACTGGGTCTGACAGGAGCAGCATTTTCTGCCTGTGCCCCTCAAATTCATCGCCCCCCGATGCCTGGGAAAATGCAAATAAAAGTAAGATTATGCTATTTTTCGTACATAAGGAATGTAGCCACTCGAATCTGGTTTGGGCTGTCAGCTGAACCCACCAGAGAGGAATCGACGTTGAGATATTCACGTGTGTTCTCATGGAGCATTTACTGTGGCGTGTGGGGCTCCCGGAAAGCCTTTATATAAATTATTCATTATGGAATTCAGATGAAATGCCAAAACCCCTCCCAGCCAGGGGCGGCCTTTTTTGCTCTAATTTTTTTCTGTTACCTCTGAAGAGCCGGTCCCCATTAGCATCCAACCCGCTGGCCAGGCAGGCGGCATAATTATTGGGGCGAAATGAATGGGCCAGTGCCATGATTCTGACCCTGTGCTTGTGTCTCTTCAAGGCAGCTTGACTTTTCTTAAAGGATTTTCTCTGCTGGCAGCTCGAGTGCTAACGTCCTCTGGTGCCCTCCAAGAGCCATGTTTTCCGGGGGCGGTGGAGACCCAGGCCCGTCTCCTGCCGCCTGTCTTTGGAGAGGGAGACCCGTTTCTCCCATTAATCGAGCCCTTCCAGGCCCCTTCAGGCCCCAACCTGGGGGAGAGTTGGTCAGTAGAGAGAAGAACGAGGCTCAGAGACAGTTGTGGGCTGAGCTCTGTCGTCCCCCAAACCCGAATGTAGAAGTGTCAGCCCCAGGACGTGTGAGTGTGACCTTATTTGGAAATAGGTCTTTACAGACATGATCAAACGAGACCACTGGGGGCACCCTGACCCGATGACTGGTGTCCTTACGAGAAGGGGACACTTAGACACAGACGTGCAGACAGGAGTGCACCGTCTGAAGGCCTGGGAGAGAGGCCTCAGGAGGACCCAAAGCCAACGACAGCCTGATCTCCGACTTCCCGCCTCCAGAGCCGTGAGAAAATGCACCCCTGCTGTTGAGGCCCTCTGGCCTCTGCTGGTTTGTTCTGGCAGCCTGAGCAAGTTCACCCAGCGATAAAGTGGCATCTCGAGGCTCAAAGACAGCGCCTTGGGGTTTGAACCCGTGGCCTCTGTGGCCAGCCTGCTGGGCCTTTGGTTGGATGAACTGGGAGCAGCTTTGCAAAGTGGCCCTAAGACCTTCCACGACGCCTGGGAGTTAGCAAGACAGAGGCTCAAGCAGGAATTCTGCCTGCGCCTTCGTCTCTCCCTTTGAAGAGCTTTCCGTAAACGTTTGTGGAGTTAGTTACACAATTCACACATGAATAAGTGAATGAGGGAGCGAGGGAGTCCCACTCACCAGGGTGATGCCCCAAGGCCGCGCTGCGTGTTTGGTGACAATGACAGGCCACGTGTCTGGAGCCACCGTGGAGCTGCCCACAGGCCTCCCGCTCCTCTGCGCAGCAGGGCGAGACTGAGAGGGCTCAGCCTCTGGGAACCGGGTGGGGTCCTGCCCTCCTGGAGTCCCGGGGCCGGGAGCGGGTTCCACAGGGAGAGGACAGCCGGGGACATGCTGCCCGAGCTGCGGCCGGCCAGCCGGCCCTCCAGGGCCTTCCCCACGTCCCAGTGAGGCCCACCGGCCTGGCGCAAGTCCCAGGGTGGCCCGGCACGGCCTCAGATGACCTTTCAGGGACCTCCTGTTTCCGCTGTCGGGATTATCAATCGCTTCTTTTCTCTGAGGGAGGTGTGGGCGGCGCATCCAGAAAACTCTGTGAGATTCATGGGCTTCATGCTGAAAACATTCACCGCCTCACAGAGGAGCAGCCGGCCCCGAGACGCCCCCCCGGACCCTCGTGCGTCCATTCTCCCTGCCTTCAGGCTGGGACGTGGGCGCTCCGGGGGCGGCCTGGAGCAGAGAGGCTCCTGAGAAGGGGCCGGAGCCCCCCACCCCGTCGCACCCCTCTGCCGGTTGGTGCCCCGGCCCCGCCGAGTCTCTGTGTTTCCTTCTTCCTGCCTGCGGACAGTTCGGGAGCTGCTCATTGAAGGCTTCAGTTTGCACCGAGGACTCAGACACAGACATTCCCGGGCTCGCTTGGGTCTGACTGAGCCCCGAGCTGCCCCCTTGCCACGTCTGGTGTCGGCCCTCCACCTCCGGGGAATCTCCTTTCCCTCCGCACCCCCATCTCCCCTTGACTCTGGGGCTGGCCCGGGCCGTGGGGTCCCACCTGCCTGGCTCTTTGTCCTGTGTCACCTGGGCTCCCCTGCCCCTGGCCTCAGGCCGGAGCACTGTGTCGTCTGGCTGGCATTTGGCCCTGACTGTCCCCTACCCGCCTCCCGGGGCCGGGTCTCTGAGCTGCGGCCTCCCTCCAAGGGTCCCCACTGGACCTGCTTTGCCATCGCCCTTGGCCTTTGCGGGTGACAGGCCTTCAAATCCCCACGGACGTGAATGAGCTCCGGGGAGATGGGGAGCAGGAATGGCAGACAATACAGTCACTAAGAAAACCCATTCATGTGGGGACAGTTATTTTTCCTAAAATGAGCAGCGTTTGGGAGTGAGGAAGGCCTTGCTGGTGGCATTGGTGAGACCCAAGCTGTGCGTCTGCGATGGCAGCAGGGCTGGGTTGGCGCACACCTGTTCTCATTTGCATAAGTTGCAGAGGCTGCTGGGGGCCCCCCTCCCTCTCCTCTCCGTGAGGGCCTCTCTCCTTCGCCCTGGGGCCCCACCCTGAGCCGGGCTCTTTGCTGAGACACTGACTGGGGTAGGTTTGGGCACAACTCCTGGAGGCGCCGTGTCCTTGTCCTGGATTTAAAATGTGGCAGAGGGAGCGTCTGGTCCCCAAAACACCGCACGATGTGTGATCTGTGTTTCTGTGACTCTCGGGTCACTGTGCCTCGAGGTTCTGCCCCCCGGGCGGTAGTTGACACAGAGGGACGGAGCTTCTGCGTCTGTCCCAGCCCCCGTCTCCAGCGTTCCTCCAGGAGCCCCTCAAGGAGGGTGACAGGCAGCCCATCCTTTCCGGAGCCGTCTGCTCTCCGCTGCTCAGTGATGTGTCTTAACACGTTCCTGGAACGCGTCCTCGCCATCTGTCCCGTGCGCTGGATTACCTACTGCGCAGGCTGGAATGAGGAGTCCCAATTTGCAATTGTAAATTGTCTTTTTTTCCCTTCTTTGCTTCATGCGGAGGCTCTGATGACACGTCAGGGGCTGTCATGGTTTGCAGCAAGCGTGGCTTTTGCTTTCCAGGTGGCAGGAGACACACTCTCTGGAGTCCTCACTGTCCTGGGACCCACTTGTGGGGCCGGGGTCCGCGGGGGTGCCAGGTGGGCAGGCTGGGAGGTGAGCCCCGGCTGACTCCCCACTGCCCTGGGCTCCAGGAAGGGGACCAGATCGGCATCCACTCCGATGAGCTCACATGTGCAGTGCGGTGTGCTGAGAGCCACCGCCCAGGCTCTGGGCCTCCTGGCCTCCCTCGCTGCCCCGCCGGGGCCTGTCCACCGTGCCCACAGATACAGGGCTCCTTACGTGCACAAGGCGGATCTTGCCACCTGTGCCCTGCACATCCCCATGTTTTTCATCGCTGCCACAGGGCCCTGCATGCAGTGGCTCCCTCTGCCCATCCCCATCTCTTCCCCCAGTGACACCAACTTGCTCCTGACTGGGCCCTGAACACGCCAGACACATGCTCTGCAGGCCTTTGCCCCGGTGGCTCCACTGCTAAATTCTGCCAGGCATTTAAAGAAGAATCATTACCAGGACTTTCAGAAGCTCTTCCAAAAAGTAGAAGATGAGGAAACACTTCCTGACTCAGTCTACGAGGCCAGTGTGACCCTGATGCCAAAGCCGGGCAGAGACCCCTGTCTTAGCTCCGGCTGCTGAAAGAAATAGTGGGGATGGGGGAGCGGGTAATGCAGACTTCACTCCTCGGGGTGCTGCAGGCCGGCCGGCTGAGGAGCTGGGTCTTCGTGGGCATCTCTTCCTGGTTTGCAGACGGCCGCCTTCTTGGTGTGTCCTCGTGTGAGAGAGGCCGAGCTCTGGTCCCTCTTCCTCTTGCTGCAAGGGCACACTCACCCCGTCCTGGGGCCCCGCCCTCAAGCCCTCATCTCACTCTGATCGCCTCCCCCAGGCCCCACGTCCGCACCCCATCACACTGGGGGTCAGGGCTGCAATGCAGGAATCCGGGGACACAGTTTAATACCCAGGACACCACAAGACGGCACTGCAGGCCTCTGCCCCTCTGCCCGGATGGAACCTTCTTCCCCACACCTTCCTCAGGCTCGGCCCCCTCTCATTCAAGCCCCAGTCCGTGTCCCTGACTGCTGCACCCCACACAGCCGGCCCTGCCCCCAGGATGCGGCACTGCTGTCTGGTCGGTGTCGCTGGAGGACGTTCCAGGGTCTCTGTCTCTCCCCCTTTACACCGAGCTCGCAGTGGGGTCTCCGTCCGCATGGCGTGGAGCGGGGTGGGGCGGCCGGGCGTCGCCTGGAATCGTCCCTAGTTCTTGTGTCCGTCAGCCCGGATGCACCAGCGTCCGGCCACACCTGGGTCTGGCGCTCTGCCAACCGGTTACAAAGCGCTTTCGCGTCCACCTCTCCTGCTGCTCATCTGGTGGGGGCGGCCGTGCGACCAAGGTCCCAGAAGCGCTCATGGGTCTAATGCGCAGAGAAGGGAACGGAGGCTCTGGGAAGGGCAGTGACTCCCGAGGTCACACACGTCGGTGCTTCCTGCTTCAGTGCGCACACCTGCTGTTTCTGCCACGTTACGCTGTGTAGCGCAGGGACAGGAGCGGTGACAACAGCCAGACAGACGGCCAGTGGTGGTGTCAGTGCCAGTCCCAGAGGAGGGTGAGTTTCGTGGTGTGTGTGAAGCAAGGTGCACACGAGAGCTGCCACCCACCCAGTTAAGCCTCAGGGGCTTGAACGCAGGGGGCCAGGATCTGGGCACGTGGGGCCGCAGGCCCACTGGCGAGGGGGCGTCTCTTTCAGGCCGCGTGAACGCCATCCTCCAGAGGAACCAGGAAACCTCTTATCCACAGCCAGGCCGGGGCAGAAGCAAAGGTGAGGGCACCTGTGCCCCTGGTGGGGGGAGGGCTTCGTCCCCGGCCAGGGGGAGCCTGGGCGAGCCAGGGTTCCTCACAGGCCCCTCGGGCGGAGGGCGGGGTCTGGGAGCCTGCACCCCCAGGAGCAATGACTTAGAGCCCGAGTCCTGGCCCGACGTCAAGGGCAAAGGCGAGACGGGCCGGGGAACCCGGAGCAGTTTGTCCAGCGGGGCCTGTGGGGCTCCTGAGCGTGAGGGTCTCTGTGCTCCTGACGGGATTCAAGGCAAGGCGCCCCTGCTCACTATAAGCCCCACTCCCTGCCCACCCCCCAGCTCCACGTGCCTTTGCCCAGTTCCCTTCCCGTCTGTCTCCCCCATTGACGCCCCCAGCATCTCCCACCCGCTCCCCACTTCCTCCTCCCACGTGTGCTTTCTGGGCCAGCGCTCTAATTTCAGCAAACACAGGCCCCTCCTGGTCTCCCCTGGGGTGAGAGCCACCAGAAATCTCACGCGAAGGCAGCCTTCCCGACTCCAGCCACCGAGGAAAAGCAAAAATCGGTAGGCTGTGTACAGGGCATGATTTAGTTCCCAAAACCCATGCATCCTTCTCCATCGTGTGCCATCACGGAGCTAACCTCAGCCCCGGCGCTCCCGGCGCTCCCGCGCAGCCGCCTGTCTTCCCCCAGGTGGCGTCTCTCCTCCCGGGAAGGACGAGTCCGCACTGCCAGGCGGGGCAGAGGCTCCAGATGGGGCGGTGGGACTGTGTGAGATTGGGGCAAAACCTCACGGGACAGAAACCTCCTTGTTTGTCTCTGATGAACTCGAGTCAGTGCTGGTAAGTGCGAGTCTCGAGCAGCACAGAGCAGCACTCCACCACCTAGGCTCCCGCTCGGCTCCTTTCAGAAGGATGCTCAAAAGCTGGAGCGTCCGCGGCGGATGGATCTGGTGTGAATCCTGGCCGGGCTGCTGGCCAGCGGGGTGACCTCAGACGTGCCGCTGGAGCTGCGTCTCCTTTTCTGCAATGTGGGGATAAGAGGGGGGTGGACCGCATCCTGTGTGTGCGGCTTTTATTTCGTTATTATTTTAACAGCTTTACTGTGGTATAATTTCTGTGCAGTAAACTACGCATATTTCAGAGGTGCAATTTGATGGATTTTGGTAGATGCATGGTAGCATCTGGCCTGTAGTAAGTGCTCAGTGAGCGGGGGGGATGGGCAGTGCTGGGCTCTCAGTGAGTGGGGGGGGGGGATAAAGCAGAGCAGTTGCTTTGCTTCCTGGTATCTTCATGCGCACACTGGGAGCTAATTTTGCGGACCCTCCCTAGCCAGTGCCAAGGCGGTCTCTGCGCACGCTTTGGGCAGTAATTCGTTTCCAGTTCCATCTTAACAGCTTCCCCTTTGCTCTCATCCTGCTGGTCCTCCCCCCTGTACTCCCAGTTTACACTGGCTCGGTGAGTTTTGGGTACGTTTTGGGTGACAAGATTTGGTAACGTGGGAGGTTCCAAGCCCTCTCCTGACCCTGCCCGATAGAGGGGGTCTGGCTTTTGCCTGCTGAGCCCAGGTCCCCCCGGACAGGCTGCCCGGGTCCCGTCTTTGTCACACTGCTCAGGCAGAAGTGAGCGGATGCTGGCCCGGGGCTGCGTCTCTGAACACCTCCCTCCAGTGCTCAGTGTCTGACCTGATTTCCCCATTGCATTAGTTACACCCAGAACATCCATCCCGCCCCCTCAGGCTTGCGTCCCAGCATGAGCAGTGGCCCAGGCCCACGGGGGGTGGGGAGGGGGCTGCAGCAGCAGAGGGGCCAGACAGAGACGCGCTTCCCCCAAACTTGAGGGGAAGGCCCCT